TTTATAAACTAAATATTTAACTTAAATATTTAGCCACCTAAATATTTAAGTTAAATATTTAGTTTATAAACTATGACATTTATAAATGTATGAATCATATGGTGAAAAACTGATTGAAAAATAAATCTGTTATTTTTTTCTTTTAAAAGTCTAAATAAAACAAAAATATTGGTGGTAATTTTTGACTGTGTAACTTTACAAACGACACCCCATAAAATCCTATGAAAACCTTGGATTTAAAGCCAACATCCAGCTCTGCTGCACACTCAGTGAATGTAAACTAATGCCCAACGCCTGAGGTTTCCCAAGAAGCAAAGCAAGGCGATAACAGCCTCCGAGGAAGATGAATCGTGTTCCTGATCCATCCCAGAGGGGATCGGTGGTCCGTCCAGCTGTCTTCTTTCTGTCTGTCAGCAGAGCTAAAAGCTGCAGCCCAGTGAAGTCATGTCCTGACATCTCACAATATTTCTCACTTCTACTCTCGCCGTCTCACGTTTCTCACTAACAAGCTTCTTACAAAACAGATTGTATAAAACCTGGAGCCGAAGGAAGTATTTGAATAATTTAAAACAGTTAATRCTGCAAAATTCTAAGGCTAAAGATGGAGATGTTCACCCCTTTCCTGATGTTCACAGCATAACGTTTACAAAATTCCTAATTTGCATTAAATGTTCTGTTGCAATAATAATGTTTTGTTGTATCTGATGTGAGTTTAAAAACAAGACTCAGAACGGATGAATCCTTTGAAGGTTTTTATTGCCTCGTCCTCATTTAATTGGTCATAAATCAAGTGTTAGTCCAGTGATTTTACAGCCAGAGTGGAATGACTGAAAAACAGGAGACATGATACTTTAGCTAGCGACAAGAGAAATGTAAACACAACACAACAAATAACAATCAGCCCTATAACTTAACATCAGGTAAACACAGTTCCTGTGATCTGATCACAGCAAACCTTAAATACTCCTGTAGACAAATCATTTCACAGTAAAGAACAAAGAAAATCAAAAAGTTCTGTAAACTTTGAGTCTTTTCAGCAAAGAACAAACATTTCATTTGCTGCCGTTAACACATTCAGTACGAAGTGACAATCATTTTGTTTCTCCTCAGWTCTCTAACAGCAGATAAATGTGTTTACCGCCAGAAACACGGAGATCAACCGTGTCCATTTTACACACCACAGTGTCCATCTGTGTCACTTCAGGAAATAAACACAGTTGGTGAGTTTGAGGTCATTGTTGGCAACTTTTATTATATTTATGAGAACCAGACAAACTGGTTTCAGGTTTTATGCTTAGAGTTAACAAACTGCAGTTTTCTTATTAAATGTGACCAAAAAGGTCCTGAACTTTCCAGATTATCTCTATAAAATCCAAATGATTGGTAACATTGYACAATTTTAAACCCTTGATTAGATATCTTCATGATCATTTATTATATTTTTAAAGAGCAGGTTAGCAGCATAAGCTTTCTAAAGTGCTGAACTACAGCTTTTACTTTCAGTTTTCTCTTTAAGACGGATCGGTTGAGAGCGAATGTTTGAAAGGAACAGGAACGCAGCTTCAGATTTAAACTTGGAAAATAAAAATCACGCAGAGAAATGAGTTGATGACAAACACCACAGYAGAGCTCCTTATGATGATATAAACAGGTTTTTAAGACATTTTATAGACAAACATGATTTTCTTTGTTTTCTGTTATTCTAAGTCATATAAAATAAAATAAAAATATCGTTAAAATATGAAGATTCCAATTTAATCGCAGTGCTGAGGACATTTTAATATTAAACCCTCTTTAGCTGCTGTGCTGAAGGATGAGATATTCCTTTTAACTTAGGTGCTTCTTTCTAAGTATCATAAATATAAAACTTAAACATAAAAGACTGAATTAGAAATTGTGTGTATTTGTATCTGCTATACATATTTCAGTAAAAGAGACTTGTTGTAAACAACAAGCATATAATTTGACTTTGCAACCATTTATTCTTGTTTTTTTTTGTTCATAAGAAAAACTGATGCATCCGTTATAATATAATTGTAATATTTCACTCATAAAATCTCCTCTAACTTTAAATCAGTGTAGTAAATCTATAAATACTGAATTTTGTAGTATTTTGTCTTAAGTAGTGATTAACAAATGTAAAAACAAATAACACTATTTATGACACCTGTTTAAAATAATTATTTGTAACAAAAAGAAACCATATGTTTGGTCAGACCGATGGGAATAAATTAGATCTTATATTTAAAAATGCCATGATAGTGCCAAATTTAAGGGTTCTTTTTAAAAAGGTTCACTAAAACAAGTGTTTACTAAAATAAATTGAATGTTTTAAAAATTATGAGACATTAATGTTTTGTTTGAAAGAAAACTGACTAAAGTTTAAGTGCTAGTTTTGGAGCATTACAGAAAAACAAATTTGTTACATTTGAGGCATCCTGTTGAGGGTTTATGCTCTTTTTCGCAGGCTGCAGAAAACGTTGACATTTAGTACTCTAACGAGCCAACAGGGGGCGCTGTGGCCAAAATAAATCCACCTGTAACCAAGTTCAGAGAGCCTCCTCTRGTGGAGTTTATGAAAGAGGAACACCTGCCACTCAGGACGTCACACGTAGCCCTTAAATATCTGATAGAGATGGCTCATTTCATTTAATGGCTTTGACTTATTGATGCTTCATCTGCAGGATCTGAGGCGCATGAAACTCTCTGACATGATTTTACAGAGCGAGGGGGAGTTTGTCATCTCTGCTGTGATGGTGGGTGGGCGAGTGGGGGGAGTGTGTGGGAGATACTCTCGGCGTCTTTCGCAGGAAGCCACGAACACAAATGCAGGCGAGATGAAAAATCACATCTGACGTAACGGGCGACGACTCAAAACTGGATCCAGTTTGTGGTGTTCTGAGGTTGTGATGGAGGTGGAACAGAGCTGCAAACATAAACTGATATTAGTGTGTCTCTGAATAATCATTTTGCATGATATTTTATTCTTTTTATTTGGGTTTAAAATAYAAATACTGAACTATATAGAGCTGAACTGGCTTGCAACCTGTAGTTGTAGTAAAAGTATTAATAAACTTGGTTTAACACCACGAGACGGTCTGGTCTACGGAAGACGTATGTTTGACCACACGCTGCCTCGTTGCCTTTTATATCACATCACTTCAGTTGTTTTTTCAGGGTGTWACTTCACAAAATTCAGTTTTAATATAAAAATGTTACAAGTTAAGAAATAAAAAGCATGAATAATTTGGGTTTAGCTCCAGTATCAGTACTTGTRTCTTCAAAATATTTAACATCTCACTGCAACAAAACTTTATTCAGCTAAGTTGTTAAACTTACATTTTTCGGTCCGTGATCAAACTCTGTCATTTAAAAAAAAACTCTGCTGTAAAATGAAAAAAATTAAATTAAATAAATTAAAAATAAAAAAGACCTTCACTGTCTTTGTTTTTCTGTTTAATTTGCTGACGGTGCAATGAATCCTGGGATACCGATGGCTGCATCTGAGTATCCTACGCACACGACAGTTTTCAGTGTTTTGTCGGCTGCATGAGTTGGGGCAGCCTACGGCGAGGGGCAGTGATGTAAGCAGCTGAAGTGGGCTGCAATCCATCAACTGAGACAACCATGTCAACAACAATGACTGTGTCGTGCCAAATAATGAGTCATAAACGAGGTACTGTATTTAAAAACAACAAAAAATTAAATAAGCTTTGCAATTAGACTAACACTAAAGTAAGACATGTAATCTTAGAAAGTTTGATAAACTCTATAAAAGGATTGGAGTGAACAAATTTTACCAAAAAAAGATAAAAAATATGAATGAAATAGAATAAAACTACATTATTTAATACAATTGATTGTGACTGGATGACATCTCCTAATGTGAAAATATGAAATAAAAAGTGAAACTCGCTCAGCTTCTCAGAGTGCTGGAAGTAAAGAGTCGACATTAGATTTAAGAGATATTGAATAAATCTATAAAGGCTTGCCATAAAAGCCCATATTCTTTAACACAACTCTAGTTTCCTTTAACCATCCTAAACATATGAACCACTTATGAAAAATATATTTTGGGGCAAAACCTTGCAGCGTACAAACTGAAATGAGACCTACCTTGAAGGAGCAGAGAAGTCTCCCCAAAGCAGATCTGAACTCGGGTTGGACTGAACCACYGTGTTTGAGTTGCTGCTGTCCAGCTCCAGCAGGCAGCCTGATAGAGTGGGAAACACAGAACTCATCACGCAGCTCAAACTGACACGTTTTTATTTATCTTCTGCTGGCAGAGKCCAGAAACTGAAGAGTCTCTAATCATTACATAAATGGGTTAGTCATGTAGGTTAGAGCTCCACAAGGAGAGATTCTGACATCAAACAAAAAGCCCTGAAGCAGAAARTGGGTCAGATTTTGTTTTTAAAATATATCATCATCTTGTTTTGATAAATAACAGGTCAAAAACACTCATCTCATCTACCTGTTGCTGTGCTTCCCATCTGTTGGACAATGTTGTGATTAGACAATCCCGACGAAGGGGGCGGAGCTATCTTGCCTCCAGGCGGCGGTGGAAGAAGCCCAAAACCACCGGAGCCTTGTGGGCGGGGCTTATCCCTCTTTTTACCTTGCTAGAAATAAAAAACCTAAATGTATAATTGTTTTTTTTTTTGCCAAATTAATCATCAAAACAAAGTGAGTTCATTAAAAAGATGCAGAAATACTGATGGAAAAGGAGGAAAATGAGAATCTTCTTGTTGCTTTTCATTTTTATCTGCAGCAGTAAAATGTTTTATTTGCAGAGCAGATTCTCACTCCTATGTTGAGCGTGATGGTCTGTCCTTCTTTAAAACCCAAGTCCAGTTTTGGTCCCGAATCCCCGAGCTGGGCACCTTTACTGATTTCATTCTCCTGTTTCACCCACCTGCAGAGAAACAGTCAGCACTGATACAATCACTGCAGCTTACAAAATAACAACATGCACCTTTCTGCAAGCAGGTTTCAAATTAATCCCTGAAATTTGACTTTTTGAGAGCAAAATGGATCACAGAAGAAAAAGCTCAACATATAAATGACTTTAGTATTTAAATATATAATTGCTTGGATAAAAAAGTAAGGAGATTTTCTGTTAAAACACTCATTATTTACTTGAAGTGATCCTGCAAAGTCACATTAAAGTCAAAGGCATCCCCTCGGTCCCCAAAGCCAACGCCAATGAAAGCACTGCGGCCTGCACACAAGAGGTGACGATGCTGACATGAATAACAACAAACAAAATATATATATATTAAAGTAGGTATTTACTAAACCCTGAATTCCTCACCGTTGTCATCCTGWATCCTCAGAACAAAGTATCGGCTGGAGTCGCTGACAGTTTCAACAGCAACGCCGGGATACTCCTTCACTGGTGCCTGAGCAAACAGCTCCCCTGTACAACACCCACCCAGGACACATCCAGAAACATCACATCACACAGTTTGATGAGTTCATTCTGAGAGGAAATATCAGCACCTGCAATACTTTCCGTGTGCAGGCAGTCCCGCTCGGAGTCATACAAATATTCAAGCAGAAAAAAGCAAAATATTAAACCTGAGACTTTGTCCTCCAGTTTGATGAAYGCCACTTTGCCCTTGGCTGTGATCCTCATCCGACCGGACCAGTCAGGAGAGTCCAGCTTCCAGTCTGCTGCCCTGCAGATTTCAAGGTTATAGCGACAGTTTTTAGAGCTGAAAGTCACAATAAGCTGCTTTAATAAACAGACTGAAAATATAAGTGGGAACTGAAGCCAGCAGGAACTTTTCACTGAAGCTGCCAACTTGTTTTATATAATATTTATTTCTATTTCATTATTATGTTGGCCTAAAGAAACAGGTGGTTTCTGGGTGCTCATAAAGTGAGGGGGGATCAGGAAGCCCTGTACCCCCRGGCCCCTCAGGAGGGAATTCCGGCCATGGATCTTTCAGCGGTGGTCAATCAGTTTTTAACATAAATAAAATMAAATCATAAAAGCAGAGTTTAAATGTTGCTTCTCAGTTGAGGAGTTTTAAATATGACTCATTTCACGCATCACATAAAGAATGTGCGGGGCTGTCCCTGGCAGCGTGCCAAATTAGACCCGGTGAGTTTGATAACAAATAATCTGAACACCYTTTAAGTCAAAAGAAAAAAAGAAATCTGTCTAATTAATTATCCAGCATCATAATAAGTGTTTTCAGAAAATWAAGCAGCGCTGTCACTTTCTGGTTGTAACTGAGGGCGTGCTGCTCGGACCGTGAAATAACCGCACCACAGCAGCGCCGCAGACAAACCCGCGGGTTTCCGCTCACCTGTACGCGCGGTTCGAAGCTCGAGGCGGAATGCGGTAAACGTTGACATCTGGTTTGACGCACAGGATGGACTCGTACTCACCCTCGGCCGCCATCTTCTCCCGACTGTTATTGATGTGGGTGGAGTTGTGGTTGTGAGTCATTTAGGTTCGTTTCTGTGGCAGGGGGTGCGTGCGTTTGTGTGAGGGTATGGCAGGTCGTTGAATCATATATATTTAAATCCCCCCTACCGCCTCCAAAGAGTTTCAAAAACACAATTTCAGATATTTGATCTGATAACTTTGAACATGAGGAATAGAACAATGGATTGTTATTATATTRTTTTTATAAGAAGATCACGATTTAGGATACAGGGTGTGTGGAGGGAGCTGCAACACCCTTTACTGGTGCTAGAGTTGTGTCCAAATTGGGATTAATGAAACTCTGAAAAACAACAGAATTTATTAGTACTGAAAATTCTTATTACATAACATTTAATAATACGTTATATAAATCTGGTATTTTGAAACGCTATCCAGGTGAAACATGTCACCACTGTCGTGTAAAAGTTGTGTTACTATTATATGGTAAATAGACTTGCTATAACGGAAAATGAAAATTTGCTCTCATTGACAAAAAAAGAAAATAATTGGTAAAGTTTTTACTTACCCGTTTTTATAATTAAACGAAATAGCAAGAAATAAAGTACATCAATATGCAGTTAGTTACCGATAAACAAAAATAACATGATAAACATGTAAACATGTTGAAAGAAGGCGTGGCCAGCAGGTGCTGAAAACAGCGGAAGCGGAAATAGCCGTGTCGTGTCGTCTCTCCTTTTAGGTTCCWGTGAATCTACACCAGGTWAGTGCTTTATTTTTGCTTTGGTTGRTCGTGCAAATGGCTCTCAGTAACTTGTGTAAGTATTGCCTGCAAACAGTGACATTTCATAGCTRTAAAAGGCCTCAAATGCTCAGAGATATTTGCTATTCTCGCGTGCTTGACAACATCGGTTGACGTTAGCTGTATTGACGGTATGGTACTCGTCTTCTGTCGCTCTCCGTGGTGCTGAAATACACGATTTATGAATTTTACTCTTCYAAGCACGACGTCGTTTAGTTACTTTGAGTCAGACCGTATGTTGCTCTGCAAAGGCTGCTTTCGCTTAGGTTTGTCACCTCAGCTAATTATTAGCTTGTAGCTTAGCTAAACAGTAGGTAATCTAGGCGAGGTTGTCTGTCGCAGGCAGATATAATGYCAACTAGACACAAGCTGACATCTACAGCAGGGGTGTTTTAGCTTGACAGTCACGCACTACTGTCGTTGCTTGCCAACCTTTACCTCAGCACCTTTTTCCTGCCTGCAGCTGCAGGATCTGATTTCTGATACAAACCAATGCAGTCAGGAGGAAGAGAAAACACCAGGATGGAAGTTCACTGAACCACAAACTGCACATCAGCACCTTTAAATAAAACACACAAGGAGATTTCTTTACAGGTATTTGCAYGTGTCACTTAATACAGTGTGTGTACGTCTGTGTTTCATGGCAAACAGATAAGAGAGAGCCAGCGTTCTGAGTTTTAAATAAGTTTATCAGCAARAGAGAACAAGGTCATAAATTATGTTATCACTGGAAGGTTATATCACTTTTAAAGCATTTTTGACTTAACAACAGACTGTAAACAGATAATTCAGTGTACATAACCATTGCTTTACATCTAATGAGGACATTCCAGAAGGCCTATCAGTAACATCAGTGTTTTTTTTTACAACACTGTGTGCTATTTGTTCTGGCACTAGAGCTTGTTGTTCTTTCTCTGTATCAGACTGTGGTGGTTTCATTCCCCACCTCTCCCCTCCACACATCATGACGTCCTCTATGCTCAGACGACARTTAAAGAACCTGGTCCAGAACTACTCTGAGGCCGAGGTCAAGGTAAGATAAACTAGTTTTATTTCTTTAATTAGATATTTCAGACAAATAGGGTGGACCTTTACTGGTATACATTCTAAAMCAAATGTAAGACTTCAGATTTTACCAATCACTCTTCAGCTGTGGTAACATTAATGTCTGTAAGTACAACTTCAGAGATAATGAAATTCTAGATGTGACTGTAGCACACCATTTATTTCAATATCTGTCCACAAACTGCTGTTCTGTCGTCTGCTTGATTGCTGGTTTTATGACATCTATAAGAAACAACTAGAATTGATTGTAAGAGAATTATAAGACACCGAACTGCAGCTGGTCTGTAAAACTGCTGCAGTCAGCTGTTTTTGTTTTGATTATTTCAGGTTTCAATACCCTTTATGTTTATTGTAGCTGTGTTGGACTCTGATGGTTCTCACTTTGCTTATTTTGAAGGTGAGAGAGGCAACATCCAATGATCCGTGGGGTCCCTCCAGCACTCAGATGGCCGACATTTCTGATCTCACCTACAATGCGGTGGCTTGCAGCGAGATCATGACAATGCTCTGGAAACGGCTGAAGGACGATAAGAACTGGAGACATATCCACAAGGTAAAGAGCACAGCAAAAGACACAGAGAAAACAGGTACAKGATGTTTGGATCTTAATGAAGGAGTCATTGCTTTGGATGATAGGTTTTCTTTTTCTCATCTAATATTACGTGTTGCATATCAGTATTTATCAGTCATTGTTTATTTTTTCCATCAATGTTGCATTTAAACCAAAACCTATCCATTTTTCCTTATCATAATTAACTCAACAGAACTWTTTGATTTTAAAGTTTCCCTTTTTGTTTCAGTCTCTGACGCTGCTGGAATACCTCCTGAAGACCGGCGATGATCGTGTTCTTCTGAAAATGAAGGAAAATATCTACATTGTCAAAGCCCTCACAGAGTACCGCTTTGTAGAAAAGGACGGCAAAGATCAGGTGATGCTTGTTTTGTTTGAGGCATGCAACCTTTTACCCCTCATTAAGAACTTATAAGCTGTGCATTAAGGTTATCCTTTATTTGTCCTAGAATATTGATTGCTTCATAACCTCATAACCTTTTGATCAATTAAAACAGGAATCAAAACATACATTTTAGAATAACAATCTGTTTCTCTACACTTGTTGCAAAATGCATTTTTTATTACAGTTTGCAAAGGCATTGGATAGTTTTGGGTAATATGTGAAGATTTCTGTATCATTTGGATGTTTTTGTTGATAAAGGTTTATTTTTCATGCTAAAACTGTGTTTTCTTTTTAAGTTGTCTGTGCCATATTAAATGGTGACTTTTCTAAATCTTTCTTAGGGTGTAAATGTGAGAGAGAAGGCCAAAGTTGTTCTTGTTCTTATGGAGGACGATGAGAAGCTGAAGGCAGAGAGAGAGTTTGCAGTGAAGACAAGAGAAAAGACATCCAAAGGTTCTGCTGGTGAGGCATCCTAAACTAAAACATTACAGCTAAATTTTAGTAGTTTTAACTGTTATTTTTTCAGTTATCTTTACTACAAAGATTGTTTTGAATAATAATTATTTTGTCTTCTGACCAGCCTCATCCACAGACAATGTCAAAGATCCCAACTACAAGCCAGTCTATGTTCCTGGAGCCTCGGGGCTTCCGTCCTTGGACAACATCCCCTCTGTCGCTGACTTGACTGCTTCTTTTGCTGCCCGCAAAGAGGAACGACTTAAACAGGAAGCCGAGAAGAAAGAAACAGAGAGACGGGTGAGTGTACTGCAAGTAGAATGCACAGCTATAGTGAGGGGACATGAGCGCATCACTGCCAGTATTATCCTGTCCATTTCTGCAAAATGTTGCAGCTGAAACCTTAGAAATATAAACAGAATAATTTTGTGAATTTTTTTTAAAGAACCAAGTTAAGGTGTATGTGATGGACTTGTGGTACTACAGTATATCATGTAGGCCACATACTAACCTTGTTACCCAACTGACTAAATGGTCCATCTATGCATATTATTTTCCACCAATGTGTGCATGTTTTAACAAGTTTACAATTTTACAATTGCAGGCCAAGTTGAGTGAAGATGAGCTACAATGGGAGGATGCAGGCAAAGGCAATAACTTGAAAAGTGATGCTTGGGGAGGAGAAAAGGCAGAGAAAGAGGAGGAGGAGGAAGTGAAACCAGACCCATGGAAAGCCCCTAAAGAACCTAGTAGTGATCCTTGGGGTGCTCCGGTGAAAACTGAAGATCCATTTGCAGCACCAAAAGACAAACCTGATCCATTTAGTGCACCAAAGGATGACTCTTTCAACACAACAAAAGATACAACCGACCCTTTCAATGCACCGAAGGATGTGGAGGATCCATTCGCCGCTCCAAAGGATAAACCAGATCCTTTCAGTTCAGCCAATGGTGATCCATTCATTGCTTCAAAAGATGATTCGTTTACTTCTCCAAAAGATGATCCATTCAATTCTCCAAAGGATGATCCATTCAACATTCCAAAGAATGATCCATTCAATGCTCCAAAGGATGATCCATTCAATGCTCTGAAGGATGATCCATTCAATGCTCCGAAGGATGATCCATTCAATGCTCCGAAGGATGATCCATTCAATGCTCCAAAGGATGATCCATTCAATGCTCCAAAGGATGATCCATTCAATGCTCCAAAGGATGATCCATTCAATGCTCCAAAAGACGATCCATTCAGTGCTCCGAAAGATGATCCATTCAGTGCTCCAAAGGATGATCCATTCAACTCTCCAAAAGATGATCCATTCAGTGCTCCAAAGGATGATCCATTCAACTCTCCAAAAGATGATCCATTCAGTGCTCCAAAGGATGATCCATTCAATGCTCCAAAAGATGATCCATTTACTGCTCCAAAAGATGATCCATTTACCACTTCACAAGAGGATCCTTTCAGTGCCCCTAAAAAAGACCCTTTTATCACCTCATCTGATGATCCTTTCACTGCTCCAGCATCAACACTCACTAAAGAAGAAACAGAATCAGCATTATCTAAGGCTGACTCCTTCACGTCGCCCACAACGCCTCCTAAAGGTACTTTTCCATCTCCAACCAAACCTGTTCAAGGCGACCCTTTTGCTGCACCGACAACACCGCCTAAAGAGGATCCCTTTTCCATGTCGCCCACATCTACAAACAAGGACCTGTTTGCTGCACCATCATCACCTTCAAAGCAAGACCCGTTCACGGTGCCAACCAGTCCACCAAAAGATGCTGCCTCAGATCCATTCAGCGCCCCTCTGGTGGGCTCGCCCCAAGAAAATGCAGACACATGGGGAGCTCCAGCCAGTTCTCTACCAACCACAGGGTCTGACACTTGGGGGGAACCACTTGCTCCAACTGAAACAAAAGGTGAAGATCCCTGGGGTGATGGAACAAGTGCCTCTTCRCCCCTTGGTAATTCTGACCCTTTTGGAGATGCGTCCAAACCAGACACTGACCCATGGGGAGCCCCAGGTAAGAAATAAACAAGTGCTTCACTATTCAAGGTTTTTTTTTTAAATCTGAGGATTTATTTACATTGTAAAATATTCCACCACCCACAGAATTTTATCATGTTTCCAAATTTCTGTTTTCTTTAGTTTATTTATTTTTGTTTTGTTTTGTTTATCCTCTTAGCTTCAGCTCCAGCCTCTACAGATGATGCCTGGGGAACACCTGCTCCTCCCTCCATCTCCTCTCCATCCAGCGACCCGTTTGGAGATGAAGCATCTAAAAGCAATGATCCCTGGGGTGCACCAAGCAATACAGGTGAACTGACTGATTATGGATTATGCATTTATTTCTGATCCATCAATCAATAATATCAGCATACTCTCATTTTCTGCTTAATGTTTTGCTTTAAATAAATAATCCTGATTCTGAGCAGTCTACTAAAAAGTGTGCACGATCTCACTCAAACAGATAAAGGCCTATGCCAGCTGGCCAAGTCCTTTAATAATAGTGACTCTCAAAATCTAAAATGCTTRTTTCATTTTCCACTATTACCTCCATTTCACCCCCATCTTAGTCACCTGTCATCTAACAGCTCTAACCAATTAACCTTTTCTTCCGCTTTGCTCTCTCTTCCCCCCTGACCCGTTCCCAAAAGAAAACACCTTTTAGAGTAGCATTGGACCTTTCATTTTATTGCAGGAAAGCAAACGGCAAAAGAAGAGATGTTTAGAAAGACTGCTTCATTCTTGGGCTCTCTGGTTGACTTGGATGATCTCTTAGCCTCCAACCCAAAACCCAGACAGCCACCTCTCAACCCATTCGCTGCCCAAACACCAGCCATCGGTAAGGACAGACAAAGAGCTTCATTCTCGGTGGCAAACTGTCTTTTAAACACAGACTTTGTGTGGAGATACTGGCGGATCAGTTGATTTATGAGGATGCATGATCAAGGTGATGTTTGAAAAACAAAACAACTGCTGAGGGCTTCAGTTCAGAGAACATCAGAGAGGGGAGCTGAGACAGCGTGACCAACAGTTATCAGTGAGGCTTTATGGAAAAGCTTTGTGATCATGTTTTGCTGACCCATCCTTCCTTTGTGGTCTAGCTGTCATATATAGATGTTATGTATGTGTGTGTGTGTGTGTATGAGCATTAGTGACACACTGTAAAGTTACTCTGTAGAAAATAGTGTATATTAACCTGCATCAATGTTCTCCTCCTCTCTCTGCTCTGCTCTGGTGCGTTTTCTCTTTGCTGGAATGCTTCAAACTGTATATCCCTCATCCCCGCATCCTCTTATCACTCTGACTCATTTCCCAGGCACTTTCAAAGCCAAAGGAATGACATCTGGTCCTTTGGACAGATCAGGGGCATTTGCTGAAACTTTAGTCCAATACCACAATCCCTTCAGTTCCAGCCTAACACCCACTCAGCATGCAGTTTCTCACACTTATGGAGGCCAGGTGGCCCCAGAAACTGTGCTGGCACCGTCTGTGTCTGTCAGAGGGAATCCACACGGTGAACTGGGGATGATGCAGTGGGGATCTGACGTAAGCAGTGCTTTGGGAGCAGGAGATGCTCTGACCRGTTTCTTTGGAGAAAAAATCTCAGCAGAAGTGAATCCATTCAGAGGTTTGTCTTCAGAGACYGAAGGCTGCCTGGATGAGACATTCAACAAAAGCCACAATCCTTTCCTGGACTGATTATTTAAGTTATTTAACTTATTCAAATCAATTTTTTTAGTTTTTATCCATCAACTGGCAACAGAGATGAGTTCTGCATGTTGCAGCCTCTTAWAGAACAGTGTATAAAAGATCATCATGTATCTTCTTACAAAACAATCATAAGATTACAGGTTTCTCATAAACAGCCACTGATTTCTGTACGTCATGTTATAAAAATCCACCCGCTTCGAATGTTATCATCCATTAAATGGACGTTATTAGCCATTAYCAGTCCCATAAATGGCTTCAGACTAGATTCAGACTGTCCCGACTGCCGCCTAGTGGGTTCTCCGTCCCATAGAATGGCTTCAAACTGTCAGCTGGTTTGAATGAGGCATAAAACCACTAAGGTTTTTTTATGCAATCTAGTAAAAAATGAGGTATAAAGCCACTGAGGTTTTTTATGTGTTCTGGTTAATATGAGGCATAAAACCACTGAGGTTTTTTTATGCAATCTGGTTAATTTGAGGCATAAAGCCACTAAGTTTTTTCATGCAATCTGGTTAATTTGAGGTATAAAGCCACTAAGGTTTTTCATGCAATCTGGTTAATTTGAGGCATAAAGCCGCTAAGGTTAATTTTAGAGAAAATGACATGGGCTACGATAAAGTAGACCCTACTCCGGCGATAGCAGATTGTTGCATTCCAACGTATATGGCATTGRTAAMCCACTAGGGGGCACAGTTGCGACAGTCTGAAGCCATTCTATGCGACTGRTAACCGCTAWTAAGGTCCATTTACTGGACTGATAACATCCGAACCGGCTGTAAAAATCAACCTGCTGAGCCTGAGGCCAGACTTATCTTTAAAGTTTCTCATTTTCATAATAACTATCAAAACTTAAAACTGACAGAAACAYGTATTGTAAAAAATATAGCTGGTTTTATGCACTTGGACCCCAACAGACTAATTTGTTAGWGTCAGAGGTGCGCAAGAGACTGAGATAAGTGGTAACATAAACATTTATGTGCAAATGTTCATTTATGTCATTATCAATATGAATGATGCTTTCCTTTCTAAACTGTTTGGTCTGGATTTGCAGACTTTTCAGTTTGATTTGATGTAAAAGTTCTGATGCTGGTGCCAGGCAGTGTCACTGAGGTGATGATGAAAGTGCAGCATGAACAGATGTAAACAGTAAAACATGGTCTTTGGTTCAGACCAAACTTTAAGTGTTAAAATGATTTAAATTTAAACATGATGGATAAAAATCAGTGGCTGCTGGGTGGTGAGGAACAATGCAAAAATCAATCCTTCTTCATCTSAAATCTTCTTACATCCATTTTAATAAAACAGTTCAGGATTAAATACACACAGCTTATTAACATGAATAATTAAAAAATGTTCTGGATGTTTTTTTTTAATGCACAAGTCTGAGAAACAGAACCTGTGAGCGAGTGTCTTTGTGAAAACACTGAAGCGTTTCTGTGTATTTGAGTGTTAATTGGTTCTTTGTTGGGAAACATTAGCAGAAATAAGTTGCTGTGTGTGTGCATGTGTTTGTTGTGTGTGTGTGTGTGTGTG